TTGATTTTTTGTTGAAAAATCGACATTTACATGTCGATTTATTGGGAAAAAATCTAGATGTTGATTTTTTGGCGAAAAATCGACATCTAAAGTTGATGTCTTTTTTGAATCAACGTCTAAATGTCGAATTTTGTGACAAAAATCGACATGTATATGTCGAATTTTGACTGCGCGAATTTTCTTTTTGAAAACTTAAAAAATCGATCACCTAAATACAAAAATACATTCATTCATAGTTTGTTTTCTACTTTTTTTTCTATAGAATTCTCCATATTGATGTCTCGTGACTCCATAATGTTATCCATTTGCATGTTTTAGTAAGATTAGAGGGTTTTGGGTGTTGAGGATTTTTGGAGAAGATGAAGAATTTTTTTTTTGAAGAATTTGTGTGAAATGGGTTTGTGAGGAAGATAAAATGGGTTTTGCTGGTGTGGTCTTGCACAAAGAAAATTGTGGAATTTTGTAATTGTGTGTTTCGTATTTTAGTAAGGGTATAATAGTCTTTTAGTAATTCATTTAGTGAAAAATTAGATTTCGTCTTCCCTTAAGCAATTTTTGTGATTGCATATTGTCGCCTTCTTTCTCAAATGGTGTAAAATAGTTTTGATCTCTTCCTAGCATTTTCCCCCGTGCGATGCACGAAATATCAGTTCAAATGAAAATGATGATTAGTTTAATACATGAAAATTACAATTATAATAAAATTCATTAGTGATATCAAAAACAACATCAACATTTATACGGATTTAATAATACAAACTCATTAAAAAATTATTAAAAATTAATTGTCAATCATTAAATAAATGAAGCATATTTTTTATTAGAAAAATAGGCTGGATAATAATAATAATAATAATAATAATAATAATAATAATAATAATAATAATAATAATAATAATAATAATAATAATAATAATAATAATAATAATAATAATAATAATAATAATAATAATAATAATAATAATAATAATAATAATAATAATAATAATAATAATAATAATAATAATAATAATAATAATAATAATAATAATAATTAAAAAAATATAAATGTAGTGGATTATGATTGTGCTAGCCGAGATTTGGTGTTAAAATAATTAGAAAAAAATAGCTGTAAAATAGGAGATAAAATAAATATATTTACACATAAATTAATTTATTTTTACAAATATGTCATTAGAGTTTCTTATGTTATCCTGACGTTTCTTTCTTTTATATATAAGATAAAATAACCATTTTTTTAATAGGGTGGGTACAGTCACTTTTCCCTTATTAGTGGTAGCCCACCTTCATTTATTCCAAATTTACTCTTCCCACACTATTCACTACTATACATTACCCACTATTTTGATGTCTATTTAATTTTTTTTTTTTGAGTAAATTCAAGCCCGTTACAAGGTGAATTAGGGGAGGTAAATGTTAGGTACCAACTCTCCTATAATTTATTTATTTTCACATAAATTTCATTTTCATTTTTTTCTAGTTAAATTTATTTAAAAAATAATAATAATAAATTTTAGACAAAAAATTCTATAAGTAATTTTTTTAGTATTTGTTTTTGTTCCTAATCAACTATTTTTTTTGGAAAACAACTATTTTTTTTCCGAAAACAATTACAATATTTTCGAAATCAACTACAATTTTATTTTTAATTTTTTTAATTTTAATATTTCAAATTTTTTTCGCCTTTTTTTCCGTAATCAACTACAAAATTATAGAGAACAACTATCTTTTTGTTAGTTTCCCAGAATCAACTATACGAATACTATAAAACAAGTACAAAAAATAGTTGTTTACAATTACAGGTTTATAAAAAAAATAATCAACTACAAATTAACAAAATCGAGTATAAAAATATCAAAATTATCGAAATTAACTAAAAACTATTGAAATCAACTAAAATGGTATCGAAAACACCTAAAAACGTGACCACATTCAAGCGAAAACAACTAATACATCAAAATCAACTATAAAATTATCGAAAACAACTACAAAATTAAATTACTAAAAACAACTACAAAATTATCCAAAACAAATATAAACTATTGAAATCAACTACAAAATCTAGTTGATTAATGAAATCAACTACAACCATAACGAAAATGACTATGTTTTATGTAAGTGACACCAGCATAATTTCAACGGATGAACATCCTTCTATTATTGATTGAACGAAACTTAACCTGCAAAACCAATATTGCTTGCAGGTGCAACATACACTTCGTCAATATAAAATTAAGGGAACAAAGAAGTAATGTCAACCCAATAAAATACATTAATGTAAATTTATATAACAATATGAGTGTACTCTTTATATATATATATATACATATATTTTTTTGAATATTCATGAAAAAAATGAGTGTTCAGAATTTTTTAAAAAAGAAAGTCGAAAAATATATTTCGCAAAATTAAAAATATAAAAAATACCATATTTTTCGAAGTTATAAGATATTAAATGCATGAAATATTATATATATGTGGCAATGTTTAAATATGTGTGCAAATGTTAAATATGAAACAATTTAAAAACATATCAAAATACAAACGTTAACTAAGCAATTGAGTAGTACATGTCATTCGTTGGAGCAAATGATACAAGCAATTCGACACATGTCATTCGTTGAGGCTATACATCTTCTTTTTATATAATATATAGATTAAATAATACAAATATATCATGAATAAAACTAATGACCTCTTCATTATAGAAAGAGGATTCTTGCCAATGAACCATGTGTACTTATATGTTGTAAATCGAGTATTATATTGACTAATTACAAATAAATTGACATTAAACATTAAGTTTTTTTTTTGATATTCATTAGATGACAATAACATTTTAATGTTAATTCTCACAGTAACATTAAACTTCACAATAACATTATTTTCACAACAACATTAATTTTTTCTGTAACATTAATTTTGTGAGTAATATTAAGTTTGCCAATAATATGAATATGGAGAGTAACATTAATTTCTTTTAAAATTTTATTTTTCGCACACTAACATCATTTTTTTCCGCAATAATATTAATTTTTAGAGTAACATTACTATGTTACATCATGATAACATAATTTTACTGTCGTCAGCAACATAATTGCGCTATTTTACTGTTGACCAGAATAAAATTGCCCAAATTTGACATCAGAGTAACTTTAATTTTAGTTATAATTTATTTTTTATTTTATAGTAACATTAATGTTTAGAGTAACATCACTATGTTGCCTCGCTATTATACCGTAGACAATAACATAATAACATAATTTTACTATCGTCAGCAATATAATTGAGCTATTTTATTATTGACCACAGTAGAATAGCGCAAAATTACCTATCTTAGTAACATTAATTTCAGTTACAATTTGTTTTTTTATTTTACATTAACATTACTAACTTGCCTCGCTATTATACCGTTGACTACAACATAATAACATAATTTTACTGTCGTCAACAATATAATTGTGCTGATTTACTGTCGACCACAACAAAATAGCGCAAATTTACTATGTCTCAGTAACATTAATTTTAATTATAACTTTTTTTCGCAATAATATTAATTTTGAGAGTAACATTACTATGTTGCAACTATATACTATTGACTACAACATAATAGCATGGTTTTATTGTCGTCGATAATATAATTGCGTTATTTTACTATTGACCACAATAAAATAACGTAAATTTACTATGTCAAATAATAAAATTGCGCTGTTTTATTTGGAAAATTAATTTTACTGTGGGTGGTGATGGTGTGGCGGATGGTAGGTAGTGGGGCTGGTGGTGGTGGCGGCAACGGTGGGTATTGGTGGTGGGTAGGGGTGGAGATCGGACGGATCAGATCGGATATCGTCCTTTCGGAAAATTTCCGATTTTTTTTGGAACAACAATATTAATTCCGATTCCGATTCCGATTTTTTCGGAATTCAAAAACTGATTCCGATTCCGATTTTTTCGGAAATTTCGGAAAATCGGAATATTTCGGAATCATTCATTTTTTGATTTTTCGGCGCCGTGCAAGGATAGAATGAGGGGCGGCGACTGGGCTGAGGTGCTGGTCTGTCGGAGCGAATGAGGGGCGGTGTAGGTGGTGCTCGGCGGAGAGAACGAGAAGCGGCGCTGGCTATGCTGCGCGGAGAAAACGAGGGGCAGCGCTGGCCGTGCTACGCGAAGAGAAAGAGAGGCGGCTCATGTGATGCTCGGTGCTCGACGATAAGAACAATGGGCGGCGCTGGTGGAAGAAAAAGGAGATTCCACAGAGAAAAGAATGGATGTTGGTGGAAGAAATGATAGATTCCATGGAGAGCGGCTGATGCAAGACAAGAGAGAATGAGAAATGACTTAGAATTAGGGTTTAGATTCACGTTACTTGGAAATATTGCGCTTTTGCTAAAGTGGGCCTAAGAAGATGTGGCATATTTCTTTTATAATAAAAATGTAACTTTATAATAATTAATAAATAGTAATAATTTTCGGAATTATTCGGAAATACTTTCGGAAATTTCGGAATTATTCGGAAATACTTTCGGAAATTTCGGAATTATTTTTGGATCGGAATTCGGAAATTCCGAATATTTTATATACAATTCCGATTCCGATCCGATTTTTTTCGGAAAAATCGGAAATCGGAATTTCGGAAATCGGATCATAAAAAATGGTTCCAAAATCGGAAATATTCGGATCGGAATCGGCGGAAATCGGAAATTTCGTTCCGATTTCCACCCCTAGTGGTGGGTGATGACTGATGAGTGATGGGTGGTGGTGGCGGGTGGTGGTTGACTCATTGTGGGAAGGGTGACTCTAAATATATAATTTTACTGAAAATTAGGGTCAATGTAAAATATTGGATAAGTTAGAGGTTAAATTATAATTTGTATGATTAAAAGTGGTAGTGGTAATTTTGAAATAGATGGGCTTATTTGTGAAAGAGAATAATAGGAGGGCCTTGTTGTGAGGGACTCTTATATAAAAAAACTTTAGCAAGTTTGAAAGTTGAAACCCTTGCCTTGTGCAGCATTCGCCAAAAGGAAATTAGAGAAAATAAAGAGGAAAGTGAAAAAGGTGGAAGAAGTAGAGGAAGAAAGAAATGGAGGAGAGTGGAATCGCAACCAATGTAGCGCGAGCCATAGCCACTGCCATGGACTGGACCTCCTCTCCTGATGCTCGTGCTTCTGCGCATTCCTACTTAGAAACTGTCAGTTTTTTTTTTTTTTTTTTTTTTTGATTTTTGAATGTGAATCCCCATTTTTGTACTAAAAACTGTCTACTTCTTCTCAACTTATTATTTTCCCCATTTGTCAGTTTTCATTTGTTTGATTTACAGTTTAAACTCAGATTATTATGAATCGTTGTGTGAGAAAGAGATTGCAAAATCGAATTTTAAAGAATGTCATTGATTACGTGCCTTTTTTCTTTTTCTCTTTATTATGCTTGGGAAATGGAAATTTTGCTGCCATATGTGGAAGTTAATTAAGGATTTCCCTTTTCATGGGCTGCTCGTAGATAAAAAACTCGACCATTAGAGATAGATTTTGTTAACTTGTACCTTTCTGTTGGTTTAATGCTACATTGATTAATAGAGAGTGGAATTACGTGTACCTATACACAATTGGTTTCAATACAGAATTTTGGATGGGGTGTTCGATGTGCTTATTGTGTAAGAAGCAGCTATATTTATGCGCTTGCATCCTTCACCAATGCTCATAAAACATACCATTCTCCTTGCGAGTATGTGATTTGAGTGCAAGTCTTATGTAACCAATGATGTCCATTTTTAGCGATCCTCAACTTGAAACATTTACCAAAGCATACTCAGCCACATGGTCTAAGGACCTCATCTAAAGTAAAACAAAATGAAAGGATGAAGCGTTGTTTGTTTTGTTTATATTGATTGAAAAAAGAGTGTAATACACGAGTGCAATAAACCGCCAATCTAATTTGTTCGGTCGACAGTGTTTTGACAAAATGTTTTTTACACTGCTGAAGCACACATACAAATTTGATTTGAATTTCTACAATGAAATGTTTATTTCATGTAGACACAAATATGATTCGAGTTACCACAACTTTTTGGTTGTTGCATATAACTTCCTTTTTAGTAATTACATGGTAATTAACATGGTACTGCTATTCCTTATTAGGTCCTTATAAATTGTTTACAAATTAAAGACCCATATTGTTGAGTGCTTTAGAAATAAGAATATTGCAGTTATCCCTTACTACCAAAATATGAGTAGTTTTTGTGATACTCTTTTCTTGTATTGCTGTTTGCAGATAAAAGCTGGAGATACTCGCGTATTGGCAAATACCTCATTTATTTTGGTAAAGAGAGACTGGTCTTCTGAAATCCGGTTACATGCTTTTAAAATGCTCCAGGTACATTTAATGGTTATTCATTTTTAGTTTCTTCCTAGAAAATGATTATTTGAAAGACTTTTTATTTGGAAGATAATTCTGAGACATTGTGATGATGCTGCGATAAATGAAACCCTTTTTCATCAGTTTTATCATGTTACAAGAGCCACTATGCTAATTTTTTTATTTTGATATTTATTTTTAATTTTTTATATCTTCTGAGTCCCCTCTCTCCAGTTTGAGTATACTAGAAATACAGTAGATTATGATTTCATTTAGGTTCACCCTTTTTAGTATCCGTTTGTTATCATCGTCACTCTATGAGGAGCAACGACTGCTAACATTTTCCCAGAATTCGGCAGTTGGACCCAGCGCGTGAAGTTCACCCGTGGCCGAAGCAGTTCCTTCCTTCTAGGTTTCTTTAAAAATATATTCATCAACTACTAATAACGAGCGTGTCCATTTCGCCAATACATTTGAATGCAAAATAAGTTAATTTATGGAAACAATCATAACTCGTGGATATGAAAGGAAATATTGTTTTGAGACATAAGATGCCTCTTTGTAGGAAATTCATTATGATAATGGGTCAGATATAGAGTATGCACTGGATATTGTTGAGCCGCATATTTTTTATCAAGCTTATCTGCAGCTTCACTAGGGTATCCTCTTTGAATGCATGTGAGCCTTGGTTCTCGTATTATAATCTTTCTATAAGCCACACAACCGGAGACTATCTCAAATAATATCATGAGCTAATAACATCCTCCATGTCTCATACCATCCTTCCTGTCTCACACATTAACTTTGTTCCCAACACATTTGCATATCTTAGATAGCTGTTCCCTATGTTTCCCACATTTGCTTTTTTTAATTTCTGCATAGTTTGATTTAAGGTAAGAAACAAGACTGATAGTAACTATGGATGTAATGCTTTTACTTGAAGAATGCACATCTAATCCAGATTGTGCATCTTATGAATTGTTGTCATGTGTATTCATGTATCTCCTATCTAGGAAGATACAGAAAAGAAAAATCATTTCATAAGGTTTAATGTAAATGAAGGGTTATATATGTTATGTTTTGAATGTTAATACCTTCATGTACGGAATTAGAAAAATGGTCAGTGAGACTCTATGGTAATACGATCTTTCACGTACTTCACTTTCAAGTCTATTTATGAAAATGTGAGAATATAATAGTGCACAAGTTAAAATGGATCACCTAGGAGATTGCTTTATGTTTTTTATTGTGGGACTGGGATCACTCCCCAGTGCCGTCCCTAAAAGCTGCCAGTATGAAATCAGGATAAAAACCACAAGTTCTTTGGCAATGGATATGGCAAAGGGAGGTACTACTCACACTCTCATTTACACTTCATGCCCTGCGAACCAATTTTGTGTCCTGTGGCCTTCAAAAGGCTAGACTCTCTTATGTAATTAGCAACATGAGATGCTTGTGTATCACCCCTAAACATTTGTGGCAACCAAAAGATGTGCTCATATTTATATTGTGGTTACTTTGTGCCTTTTTTTTTGTTTTGTTTTTCTGTTACCTCTTTCATTACAGCGCATATTATGTTTGCCAAGTTAAATGCGTTCAGTAAAATATCAAATCGTAGTTTAATTTACAGAGATAATGGCATTTCCTTGAGCATCAACTTCGAATTTCTCATGTCTTTTCAGCATTTGGTACGGTTGCGTTGGGACGAGCTAAACCCTGCTGAACGGAGGAACTTTGCAACTGTAGCTGTTGAGTTGATGTCTGCAATTGCAAACCCTTCTGAAGAATGGGCTTTGAAAAGTCAGACAGCTGCTCTAGTTGCTGAGGTTCTTCACCGTTTCCACTAGAACAATTTTAGGACAAATATATCCTTCTCCAGTAGTTGGTGTAAATTTACATGTTTTGCAGATAGTTAGAAGAGAAGGCCTAAGTTTGTGGCAGGAACTTCTGCCATCTATAATAACTCTTTCCAACATGGGTCCTATACAGGTGCACTGCGTTTGCTTAGTTATTTGAAACCTGTATTCCTGTGCATGTATGTATGGTTTGTTGATTTTCTGCATTGTACATACTCACACCACCGCATATACGTCTCTTTCTGTTCTAACACATGTATATGTATATACATATACGTATTAGTATTGGTATATGTGTTAGTACATAAAATACAGTTTGTAATCAGATTAATTCTTGCTTACTTGCAAAAACAAGACGATGTTTTCTTGAACCTATGTGGTTGATGGAATTTGTAATCCTATTAGGCCGAGCTGGTATCAATGATGCTAAGGTGGCTTCCAGAAGATATTACTGTTCATAATGAGGATTTAGAAGGTTTGTCAAAAATGCAAATCAATTTTTCGACAAATGTTTTATACACCATTATACTATTTTGTTTGAAGAATAAAGGGTTGTTAGTGATATTAATTATCCTGGTACTTTGAAGTTACAATTTCCTTGTTGACCTTCGCTGAGTTGTCTATCATTAGGTGATAGGCGCAGGATTTTATTACGTGCACTAAGTCAGGCTTTGTCAGATATCTTCCCTCTGTTATACACTGTAAGTTTTGGCTTCCCCTTTTTTCTCTGTATATCATTCTAGCATTATTTCCTGATGTAATTTTTTTGCTTAGTTGCTAGAAAGGCACTATGGAACTGCGATCATGGAAGCTGGTAGACAGCAAATGGACATTGCAAAACAGCACGCTGCGGCAGTAATAGCCACTGTTAATGCCGTGAATGCTTATGCTGAGTGGGCGCCATTACTAGATCTTGCGAAATATGGAATTATTTATGGGTATGGTTACATTAACACCAACAAAATCTTCATTTGAATTTTGACAGACTGTTAACATTCTTTCTGCTCCGTGTAATGAACAGTTGTGGTTTCTTACTCACTTCTCCTGATTTTCGCCTTCATGCAAGCGAGTTTTTCAAACTTGTCTCGTCAAGGTGGGTAATAAGTTCCTTGATTTAGTGATACTATATTCAACTCGCTATAAGATTAATAACTCTTGAAAGTACTCGGGTATGATTGTTAACCCTGCGTATTCGTTTATGCAGGAGAAGACCTGTAGATGACGCTGCTGACTTTGATTCTGCAATGAGGAATGTTTTTGAGATCTTAATGAATGTCAGCAAAGATTTCTTATACAAATGTACCTCTAGTTCTGGCAGCAATGAAAGTGACTTCGAGTTTGCAGAATGTATATGTGAGAGTTTGGTTTCTTTGGGCTCAACACACCTGCAATGTATTGCCGCTGATAGCACAGTTTTGTCAAATTACCTTCAACAGGTCAATTTCAGTCTCTCTCATTCTATAATTGCATTTGCTGATGAATATATTGAAGATGTTAATATGTAGGACTGCTTTCAAGGCAATCATTTATGTTGTTTTTCCTTTTACCTTGGACATTATGGTTTGGGGGAGGAATATCAAGAGATTTGTACATCTATTATATCATAGGTAGCAAAATATGATTTGTGTACTCGGTAAATGAGAGAAACCCGATAAAACTTTTAGAAAATTATATGATGGGCAAAGAGAACAATTCAACACACGAAAATATAAAGTTCATATGTAAATTGGTTATCTTCATCTTTACTTGATTTCATAAATGGGTCATTACGTGAACGGACATTCATTTAGAGGCTTGTATTTGCTTCTGTACCACCCAACCAAGGGCCTCTGATAATTTATTTTCCTTTTTCACATGGAAATCCTAGAGGTGGCTAACAGTTTAATTGATGGACTAGTTGCATGGTTTCTCAAGAAGGGGACATGATGCTGTTCGTGATACAATGCTCACTTGTATTTATAATCACTTCATTTATGTTTGTTAGCTGGTGTTTCCCTGCAAGTGAGAACTCTCAATAGTGACCTAGAAATATTGTGAACAGGGTTCTGCACAAGACAGTAATCTTAGTATAGATCCTTTCTACTGGTTAAAGTCAATCTAAATAGCTCCTGCTATGAACTTTCTTTTGTGGCGAACCTAAGCATCTGAATGATTTTTGCCCCAGAAAACACTTGTCTAGCAACTCTTACAGACTGGAATATGTTCACCTAAGTGAAAATAGGAATACAATTCCATGTTGTGGAGTGAATTTACAATTATAAATAGGTTTTGGTAATCCATTGCTTTAATATTTTAAGGTATTGTCAGACTACTAATTGGATAATCAAATATCTCTTTCCTACGATTTTTGCGAGAACGAACTTTTTCAAAGTGAAAAAAAAAATGTAGAAATATGTGAGAGTTTATAACATTGACGCTGACTTACTGTATTGAGTAAAATAATCGATTTTATAGCAGTTTTGAGATACATAGCTTTGATGCCGTGGGTTGCCAAAAATTGACAATATAATCTTCATTATTTCAGGCAAGACCAGATACAATTTTTTCTAGACTTGTTAATGTTGAGAAATCTCAGTTCCTTGTAGATCAATTAATTTTTTGGTTTAATTAATTCAGCTTACAGTTCCAAGTGGCATATCCATCATGCTGATTGATGAAGCTTGTTTCATTCTTTAAATTTATTCTCATGTATAGTGTTTTTGCTTGCAAAATCATGAGTTTTTGTCTAAAAAATCTAATTGGAATATTTTCATGCCTGGTGAATGGTGATGGAGCTTCCTTTTAGTTCTTTCAGCTAATTTCTCTTGCACGTTACTGCTTGCTCAAGTATTAAGGAATTTATCCAAGTTCAAATGACTGTCTGTGCTCGCTTATGGATTTTTTTCTTTGTATTGAATGACCTTTACATGAAACTTAATGAAAAATGAAAATTTCCTTTGAGATGATGTGGTGCCCCATGTGATGGTTGTGATTACCATATTGAAATGTATTTTCCGCTTGGAACATGCATGGATGTCTCGATTTAAATCCTACAGTTTGTTTCTCTAAATTTCAGATGCTCGGGTTTTTCCAACACTTTAAGCTGGCACTTCACTACCAATCTCTCCTCTTTTGGCTGGTATTATTTGCTTATCATTTCGGTGATGTATAATGAATTCCTACGGCCTTAAGCTTGTTGATAATTGTCCTTCTTGCTGTTGTAGTCGTTGATGCGCGACCTAATGGCCAAATCTAAGTCTGTTTTGGCTGATGACTCGAATATGGGCACTGGACATGCGGATAATGAAAAGAAAAAGATGCTAGCGTTAATAACTGATGATATTTGCAGTGCTATATTAGACACATGCTTCTGTCGCATGCTGAAAAAGGAAAAAGTTGATTCTGGGATGGCACCAGCAGCCGGAGCCTTGGAATTGTGGAGCGATAACTTTGACGGCAAAGTGGATTTCGGCCAGTACCGTTCACGACTGGTATGTTTGACAGAACTTTGTATTGAGACAGTTCCTGTAGTTGCTCCTGTCCTTATTCTACTGATTTTTGCAACTCTAAAGAGTATTTGAAACAGAATTTAACGAGTTTTGCTTTCGGATGACCCAAGTTCATCTATCCACCTATCATCCCAGACGATATTGATGTTTGAAAATGGTATAATTGATAAGTGTAAATGAAAAATGTACCATTGAGATTTGTTCTAGTTACAAAAGAGTTCCAGGTAACTTTCAAAACTACTAGTGCCCCAGTAACTATTTGAGGTTTGTCTTAATTTTGCAAAACACCTGCCGTAAGTAGGTGCAGATTGTAAAATTGAATCAATTGTCAAGATGGTATGCAATTTGTTAATTAGCTGAATTGTTTTGTAAATAAATCAAACCTCAATTATAGTTTTTTATAATTTACCCTAATTTGAAAAGAAAGGGGGTAGAAAGCTGTGTTGTTTAGTACATCTTATATATAATGCATATTATTTTTTTGTATTTCTTATCACTGTTTGTTAAGGACACATTAACACGTAATGGTTATTTTTTGAGTTGGTTGGGACATATAATACTAGATTTGGGTTTTGAAGATGAAGGGGAATGTACTATGGGTTTTTATGGGCGAAACAAGTACATATTAATGTAGTCTCAAATCATTGGTTCCTAATTTTACTGTATCTCACTTGCTTTGTTTATCTTCTGTACACATGATCATGTTTGTGAGGGCATTAAATAAAAGAAAATTAAGATAATATCATTTCATGAGTCTGGGTGATGAAACTACTTTGGGTCCGCCAAAGATTAATCTTTCCTTATAACACCTTGGTTGAATGCGACAGAAGTCACATGAAAAGTTCAAGACAATACCCGAATACGTACAACCTTGGTTATAGTATGGCCCATAGGTAGAGCATGTTTATTATATTCAAATCTGTAAATGGTTTCCTGTATTTCATACGGAAGAAATTGAAGTTGAACTTTTTAAGGAAAACACTGAAAAGGGGTGTCCGTTGTCCAAAGATCAGAGGATGTCTGTCTGGAATTATCTATTAATTGTATATAGGGAGTTTGATGAGGGAATAATGATGGAAACAGAGGAATTAGTAAGAAAATGTTTTAGATGTAAGATGTCTCATAGAATATACTGAAAGGCTCTCTCTTTGGCCATGCAGTTGGAATTGATCCGTTTTATCGCATCTGACAAGCCCCTTGTAGCTGCTGCTAAAGTTTCTGAGAAAATTACAGAAGTAATAAGGAATCTAATGCTTGTGCACTTACCTACAAAAGTAAGCCTTTGTGACCCTTATTTACTTCTTTTCCTTTGTCAGAAGTTTAATATCCTTAATTTACTGACAGTTACATTCCTGTTTGCTCAAGTGCTAACATTTTTCTGTTAAATTATTTCGACTCTTCTTGATATTGAAATCCAGGATCTGGCCATGGTAGAAAGCATGCATTTGGCTTTGGACAATGTTGTGGGCTCTATTTTTGATGGGTCAAATGAATATGAAAAGAATAGCTCTGAAGTTCAGCTTTTGTTACATCGAACATTGGAAGGTTTGATGACTGCCACATCGATATATATGAAGCTTCTTTTTAGGTCTCTACCTTCTGCTGATCTGGTAACTGTCACCTGAAGGTCTGCTTCAACAGCTCGTTGCACTCAAATGGACTGAACCCACTCTGGTGGAAATTCTTGGTCACTACTTGGATGCATTGGGTCCTTTCCTGAGGTACTACCCGGATGCTGTTGGCAGTGTAATAAAGAAACTATTCGAACTACTTACGTCCCTACCTTTCATGGTTAAGGTTGTACATTTGTCTATTGGAGTATTAAATTAAATTCGCAGTATACTCCTTAAACTTGCTTAAGCCTCATTTATTTTGTTAGGATCCTTCAACTAGCACTGCTCGTCGCGCAAGACTGCAGATATGTACATCCTTCATTCGAATTGCTAAGGCCGCTAACGGAAGCCTCTTGCCTCACATGAAGGTAATGTGTTATTTTGAAGCTTAAAAAAAAGATTGAAAAATGTGATCCAATTCAATTTTGGTTAATTATAATTAGTTGCATCCATGTTTGTTGAATATCTATTGCTTAAATTGATACCCGATTATTTTTCAAGAATTTTTATTTCCTCTCCATCTCCTGCTCTTGCTTTCCTCGCCTTATTTCATGCGTTTTCTTGTGTGCTCGTTTTCGTGAGTATGTGTTCCAGTGTGTGTGTGTTTTCGGATGTGTTTTTTTCTAGTGTTTTCATGATTTTGAGGGTGAGCTCATGCATGTGTGTTTTTCTGGTATGTCCTGTTTGCGTGTGCAAGTGTTTGTTATTGGTGTGTTTGTCTGTGATTGTGTTTGTTGTGTGAGTGTGTTTTTGGCATGTGTTCGTTGCATCATGTATGTGTTTGTGAATGGGTGTATGCATGTGAGTGTTTGTTCTTTTGTGTGTTTGTGAGTGTTTGATTTGTGTATCTATTATGTGTTGAGTGAGCTCTCAAAATGAGAGCTGGCTTAACAAGGGAGCTATCATGTTGAGAGCTGAATTGTTAACAGGTCTCTCAAAATGAGAGTTGATGAAACAAGTCAGTTCACTTAGTGAAACTGCCATTTAAAAAAACGTGTCCTTATGTGTAATGGTTTGTGGCTCAATGGACTTAAAAAAAAAACCTACGATTAAAAAAAAACCCCATAACTTTTGAAATACTTTAAATTTTCAAATAATATTAGATATCATTTGTCTAAATCATTTTTATTGCCCTTACAACTAGTGCCTTTTGGGGGATTCTCTATAAATCATATCTTACGGACATTATAGTTTGAACTTTGATCATCGTGGATGAGTAGTTGAATGCTATTCGAAGTATGGTATGTGTTGTAGGCCATAGTCCTTGGGCAAATTAAGCAGTTCACCTTTGATTAGTGAATATCAATATCATACTAGTTTAGAATATTTTGCTCAACTATGCATAAGGAGGCGTGCAGATCTGCTTGCTGTAATGGGAAGTTGTTACCAGAAGGGTCTATTATTGGTGTTTAGGACTTGTTTGAAATGAATTGATTACAGAAGATTGTTTTTTGGGACTGGACAAATTTGTTGCATTGCTACATGATTAAGACTTGAGTTCAATTTGAATTTTGTTTTCCTTTGACTGGCCATTCAACCGTAGGTAAATTACATGTTTTACGAAAGATATATGCTTCAAAATGATCATAAATTCAGAAAAAAAAGGTTAAGAATATTTTTGGTTTTTACTGAATCATATGTGAAACTAGACTCAATTCCTTGGTCATGTTTATTTGGGTAGTTAGAATTTGGTATCATGACGCAATCTCTTCATTACATTATGATCTTTTTATAGGAAATTGCTAGCACTATGACATACTTGCAAACAGAGGGTGTATTACTACGTGCGGAGCAAAATATTCTAGGTGAAGCATTTCTTATTATGGCTTCTTCTGCCGGGTAATCACTTGATCAAATAAGAGAATTATCTTTTCATATTGAGGTTTTTGTAATCCAACTCATTCCTAAATTGCTCAACTCGTTAAGGGTTGAACAGCAACAGGAAGTTTTGCGCTGGTTGCTTGAACCTTTGAGCAAGCAATGGACTCAACCAGAGTGGCAAGAAGCATACCTGACTGACCCAGCTAGCTTAGTTCGCCTTTGTGCTGACTCACAATTTATGTGGTCGATATTTCACACTGTAACATTCTTCGAGAAGGCCCTTAAGAGGAGTGGTTATAGAAAAGGTGGTCTTGGTCTGACTTCAGAAAACAGTTCACAAACAAGTTCTCCTCCTGGGCATCCAATGGTTTCCCATCTCTTGTGGATGATGCCACCCCTTCTTAAAGTAAGGATCTTATGATTGACATATCTATTGAACTTCCTACAGATTTCTGGTAACTCATACCTTTTGGAATAGATGAATAAATTTTGGTATGTTTTTAATGCTCAGCTGCTTCGTTCTGTACATTCTCTCTGGTCATCTTCTGTGGCTCAAGCTCTTCCTGGAGAAATGAGGACAGCAATGATTATGAGTGATGCCGAAAAAACCAGTCTTCTTGGAGAAGGGAAACATACATTGTCCAAGGGCGCGTTAAACTTCAGCGATGGATCTCCATTTGATATCAACAAGGAATCTTATTCAGAGCTTAGTGGAGTTGATATAAGGAATTGGTTACGAGGAATAAGAGAGAGTGGGTATGTATTCTACTTATGACTACGATATGACATGCCATATACAGTAGACTCTCAATAAATTAATAACCTCACTTAAATAATAATTTCTTCCGGTCCCGACTCCGTAAAAATGCAATGAGTTATTAGCTCGATAATTTAATATTTTGCTGAATTAATTGAATGTTGCTAGTCCCGACCGTTTTTATTTATAGAGGTTTAACTGTATCTATTAATTGTGTAGAGGTTGCAATAGTTGTACTTTTACATGTCTATTTCATGTCTCGGTTTCTCTACTAGGCGATTTAAGAAATTAAACCCCCTCAATGTTCCACCTACCTCACCCAATAAAAGATAGTAAAAACAAATAATATAAAATAAAGTTATATGAAAGACACAGTTAAACAGCTAGGTAATATAGTCTCTATAATTTGGATTTCAAGTTGATTCATGGTTTGAGTTAACGCAATTGTTTTCTTCATGTTCATGATATATGTGTATATATGTAATATATTCTTCCAGTAAAAACATAGGAAATGATCAAATTGCATCTGATTATCTTCATAAACATAGGAATAGCTGAATTTCTGTCCCAAATAGTTATGATGAAGATTGATAAAATTCTAAAATTCTCTTGCTCCAGGTATAGCATATTAGGCTTATCTGCAACACTCGGGGATTCCTTTTTCAGATGCATAGACCCTCATTCTGTTATTTTAGCACTTATGGAAAACATACAGTACATGGAGTTCAGGCATATAAAGCAGCTGGTACATTCGGTCCTCGTTCCATTGATAAAATACTGCCCCTCAGATCTGTGGGAGCTATGGCTGGAAAAACTCCTGAATCCATTACTTAACCATGTCTCGGGGGCTCTTAGCTATTCTTGGTCTAGTCTTTTACAAGATGGAAAAGCAAAAGTTCCTGACCTGCATGGGGTACTTGCCGGTTTAGACTTAAAAGTAGAAGTGATGGAGGAAAAGCTTCTTAGGGATCTTACTCGTGAGATTTGCTCCTTTTTCTCTGTTCTTGCTTCCCCTGGACTTAATCCCGGGCTTCCTTCACTAGAACAGGCTGGTCAAATGAGCCACATGGATCATTCTAAGAGGGACATAAACGCATTTGCTTGCAATTCTATAGTTGGGTATGTTTCTTGAGACTGCATCTTTCCTATAATTAAATCAGCTTTTTACGTATGGTTAATGGTTAATGTTTTGGGTTCTTTATGTCACTGGTAATTTCATTGTGCAGATTTGTGTTGAATAACAAAAATCTTGGGATTCCGGTGTTGAAAATATGCATTGAAGCATTTAATTGGACCGATGGTGAAGCTATGACTAAAATTTCTTCTCTGTGTGGACAAGTAATTCTCGTAGCAATTTCAACAAATAATGTGGAGCTTAGAGAATTTGTATGCAAAGATTTATTTTCTGCTATTATCCGGGGTTTGACCTTGGAGTCAAATGCTGTTATAAGTTCTGATTTGGTGGGTCTATGTCGTGAAATCTTTGTTTATCTGTCCCATAGAGATCCATCGCCCAGGCAGGTTGGTAAAATTCCTCCTATTTCACTTAAATGGATATGAACTATTGTTCGATGCTGTATAAGCTAAAATCTTTCTTGATACAATGTTACAGATTCTACTCTCCCTCCCATGCATTACCCATCCAGACTTGCTTGCTTTTGAAGAAGCTTTGTTGAAAACTGGTAGTCCGAAAGAGCAAAAGCAGCATATGAGAAGTCTTCTGATATTGGCAACAGGAAGCAAGTTGAAAGAGAGAGAGAGAGAGAGAGAGAGAGAGAGAGAGAGAGAGAGAGAGAGAGAGAGAGAGAGAGAGAGAGAGAGAGAGAGAGAGAGAGAGAGAGAGAGAGAGAGAGAGAGAGAGAGAGAGAGAGAGAGAGAGAGAGAGAGAGAGTACAAATGAAGAACGAGGAAAACTGGAATATATAATAGGACTGATATAGTTAGAAAGCCAAAAATATTTCAACTCTTTTATTGATAACATTATGGTGGAAAACAATTAAATGCAACTCCCCGAAAAAGACTTAATCTACGTTGTTATAAAAGTACGTAGCTCAGGATGTTTTATGTTTCCTAACTTTCGTGCGGACTAAAATAACCGTGTTTTAATTGAGGCCTTAAACTAATTTAAATGGTATATCAAGTAAAACCCATAAAAATTGTAAATGGTTTGATTTATTTGTGGTAATCATCCTCAAGTTTAGACTCTCAGCCGCAGTTTTGGGTTTGTTATTTATTTATTTGTTCTGAGTGACATGTAAACAGTGAGAATAAATGATTATTAGGCCGAGCCAACACCGTAAGCCTTTCTAAAACTCATGAAAGCAGAAGGTTACTAAAATTAGATTGTGAATAGCTGGTGAAGTAGGAGGTACTTGAGTTTTTTGTCTGGGTATTAGTGATTATTATATTCAATTCATATGTAAAATGAGCAAAATTAACTGGTGCAAATGAAAATGTTTCTTAGATGGGTATCAAATGGATCATCATACCATCTTAGGTAATCAATCGTTTGGTAGGCATAAATAAATAAATAATATTTCTATATAATAATGCATAGGGTAAGGAAGTAAAGTATTTATGTTCTCAAGTTGATTATTGGTTGTATTCTTATTTGACATAAGCAATAACTTTTCAGCGAGGTCCCGCAATTTGGATACTGCTCCAGAATCAAGCCGGGATGAAGGGGAGACCATTGGATTGGCTGCTATTACATAAAGAGAAGATATTTGCCGTGTGTGATTTTATTTGTGAAAAGGAGGGCAATTGAGACTTGAGAGAGACATTTTGTATATTTTACAGATAGGAAGTTACTAATTGAATGAATGAATTCGTAACACATGATGTGTGCTCTCTCAGAACTGTACATCTTTATGTGTACATGTTTTCTTGATTTCAGGATTTTAATTAATTGGATCAACTGCTTACGAAAAGAAAAGAAAATCAATATCTGGTACTGACTCTTATATATATATATATGTGTGTGTGTGTGTGTGTGTGTGTGTGTGTGTGTGTGTGTATTTAATTCAGGGTTTTACTTGGAGCAATTGATGGTTGGAATTGGACGGGTTGTGCTTGTGTTCCAAACAAGAATCAAATTTTTAGATATGTGGGATATTTGTTTTATGTCTAACAAGCAATCACATATATCAATCAAAATGCACCGTACAGTGCAAGAGAAGAGACACCTAATTACTATGTGTTAAAATAGTCAAGATATCTAATTAACTCATCAATTGAGGTTGGTTAGATATTTTTTTTTTTTTTTTTTTTTTTTTTTTTTTTTTTTTTTGATCGGTAAATGTGAAATATATAGATCAAAACGGACTTTACAAATACACTGGGCATACCCAGGCAGTGTAATCAAAAAAATATATATCAATGCCTATACATGAACAAGACCCCACAGGTCAAGTGCAAACCAAAGATCAAAAAGGGTCAAGTGCAAACCAAAGATCAAAAAACAATCAGGGATGCACGATTTGCAAAGCTGATTGCGGAAACAAGGCAAAAACCGTCTTGTAAACGAGTATCTTGATCTTACGCACCATCTCAGTAATCCTAGGCGTCTCGTTCTCAAAAATTTTCCGATTGCGAGCACTCCAAATCTGATAAACGGTGCAAGCAAGGGCCACCTTCTTCGCTTTTTGCCGCCAACATGAGCCACGAGCCTCCTTCTTCAGCCATTTCAAAGCACTCTTGAGCGTAGTTGCAGCCCGAGGGAAGCCCATCCATTCCCGAATAATGCTCCAAATGTTGTAAGTAAACGTGCATCCGAAAAACAAATGCACCACAGTTTCAGGCTCCGTACAAAAAATGCACGACTTTTCAACCTCCACGTGCTTGATTCGATTCCTGGTCTTGAGCCTGGACAGAATACCAAGCCACAGAATAAACGAGTGTTTCGGTGTAATAGTTGGACACCAGACCACATTAGCCCACGGACGAGGAGCAGCCCTCGGACGAAAACAATCATAAGCAGCGGCAGACCCCTTACCGGGCAGACCATACCATTTGGTCAAATTAGCGATTGCCAACTCCTCCGACCCAAAATGCAATCGGATCTGATCTCGAATAGAAGCCAGGTATTTAATAAAAGCTGAGTCTTGTCGGCCCGGAACCCATTCCCAAACAGATTGTTGCCGTAAATATACACAATTAACCCACCGAACCCACAACGAGTCCTTCTTGGATTGAATCTCCCACAGATTCTTCGTAATAAGGGCAGCATTCCAAGCCCCTAATTCTCTCAATCCAAGACCTCCCTCGGTCTTCGGAAGGCAACATTTCTTCCATGCCACGGACGCTCCTGCCTTTCCCCACAAAAATGCACGGCATAATTTAATAATTGCGGTTCTAACCGTGACCGGGATGGAGAAAATAGAAAGCCAAAAACATTCCACGCCTTGTAGGACCGCTCGAATTAACTCAGCCCGACCCGCATAAGAAAGCGAGGCCCCCGTCCAGGCATTAATATAAGCCAAGATCTTGTCAAGCAAAGGCCCATACTGCACAACCTTGAGACGTGCTGCAGACAAAGGGATACCAAGGTACCGAAAAGGCATAACTCCCTTAACCAAGTGCGTCGTTTGCTGAATATCCTCGCCCTGCTGCTCGGAAACCCCCGCAAAATAGATATTTGATTTGAACACATTAAGTTGCAGCCCCGATTTCGCTCCAAAAACTTTCAAGCAATCCATGAGCACTTGAACCGACATAGGATCTCCTCTAGCCAGGAGCATCAAATCATCCGCATACGCAAGATGCGTAATCTTCAAAGGACCACATTTCGGGTGGAGCAAAACAATGTTTCCAAGTGAGTGAATTAAATTCAGCTAGTGGTAAAGTTTGAACTCAGTCAACAAAAGTTAAAAATTGTAATAAAAAAGTCAAAAAAATGTCAACCGTAGATGTACACGGACTAACGTTGACATTGGACGACCGAGCGACATGTTAAAAGTCGTTCGAAAACTCCCATGCGTGCGGCGAAGGAAGGCGAGCGTGTAAGATGCCTATCATACGTTATTGCTAAATGTCGACGTTTGTCTAACGACCGCCGACTTGGTTGCACTAACCAATCTTCGTGAACTAGGTCTAGTTCCGGCTACCATGATCAGGCCTAGTAATGACTGTCTCTACATTTCCGTTCCTTATCCGATAACAATGATCAGAAACCTTGCTCAATTAGTTCAACTAATCAAACGACGAAACATTGTTCCATTTAATAGATCGAATCTATCAAAAGTCATCAATTCAATAAATCAGAGTTTCTATGTATTGTACATGCTATGTCACACGTGACCCTACGTTCACCATTAACTAGTTGTCGTCCCGCAACGACTTTGCAATTTAATTATCGAACAACCCTGAGAAAATCAAATTATTTTCAACTCGACCGTTCATTGTGTACTAATATCAATTAATATACAAGATCCCACTAACCATGGTAGACTACGCACGTCTAGTCAACGAGCACATGTATCCTAGTTAGTAGGTCGAGTAAGGCCCGGGACATGAGAATTTTGTTGGTTTCTATGATTTATATAAGGATGCATGATTTTCTTTCTGAAATCAACTTTGGAAACATTTTCCCAAATTCTAGAATTCATACCGATACATGACATCGGATCAATGATCACGCATAAACGTTACTAACATCCATATCCAAAGTACATCCACGAAGTGGTCCGAACGTAAATCAAAGCATAGGCTCTTAAATACAATGTTGTTGCAGCACTTGAAGTCGAAGGACAAATAGTTATACACTATCGTAAATAGGAGAATATCACATATGAACGACCCACTGCTCCCTTAGATCTCATGTCTTCTTCTTTTTCATATTATTTTATGTTAATTCTCATAGGTTTTAATTTTCCGTTGATCTTTTAAGATAATTAGATTTGTAGAATTACGCCACACGAGTTTTGAATCTGCCACCACTATCGATGTTCTCTCTTTCATGTTGGATCCTACAATCGTATTTTATAACTCATGGAAGAACATTGTATTAGACCATAGTTGGGTCCATTTGTAATTTCAGTTATCTTCTTTAACATCACATACACACATTGATATGTGGGTCTGTAATTCGGTTCCCAAACACATCAGCTGACTCATTGATATGATCATGACAACCTCTAAGATGATGAATTGATAAAAACAAAAGCGCCTGAGTTTAATGGAGTTGTTCGTGTTTAAGATGACAACATTCAGACCCAATGACTTGGTTGAGGAGTCTATTGTAAGGGATTGGAAGAAAAGGAAGAGAAGAGTTCATTCGGCAAGTCGAATTTCATGCATCCCGAAAGTTCCATGAGATTCTGACATATTTACCATTTGGGTTATAACACTCTCTTGTGACGTCTAATTAAGGTGATTCGAATTGCTGAGGAAAGCCAATTGAAATATGCAACTTCCATATTCGAGATTAAAATTGGAACACTGTGGAAATTGTGTTTGATGTTTCTGCACGAGCACAACCAAAACCATCTAAAATGTGGATTACTTAACCCCAACAAAAGTATATGGAAGACCAAGCATCTAAAACGTGGATACTTAACCCCCACAAAGAGCCACAAGAGACAACATCCAGGTTCCGACCTATGGCTTCACATGAATAAACAGCCTCACATGAATAAACAGCTTATTCAGGTAATGGTGCAATGCTTTACTTTGTTGATCGATTTCACTCTAAAGTTCCCTTACCCTTATGTGCAATCGTTGATCGTTGACAAATTTGCAACTAATTTGCAGATTTTGATTCATGGTTTGAACATGCATTACAACCTCCATATCCATAAAATACACAAAGAATAAACTTTAGCAGAAGATGCAATTTCGAATCATCCAAATCAATTTTATGTTTTATTTTTTGTTCTGGATTATGTGTATATCAATACGGACAATTTTTACATTTTCTCATAGCTGTATTTTTTCTCATATTATACGCATCATAAAATAAGAAAAATTATGTCATTTATTGTGACTTAACTTTTCTCGAATTAGGTGGCTCAATTAGTTGTCAATTAAAATTAATTAATACCAAATTAACGTAATATGCATTTATTAACTGCCATTATTAACTATTTTCAAATCAATTCAAATTAAATCAAATCATTTAATTATATAATCAATAATTTCGAAATTTTAGATTGCCGCTCATTTTAAAATTCAAATTTTGATTTTTTAAAATATTTCCAAAATCACGTAATAATCCATGTTATATAATCACCCACAACAATGTGATTTTCAACACTCGATCCAACAACTTCATATTATCACATGCAATTATGTTTCTGTTTTAATATTTATATATAATTTGCAGCACTTGATCCAACTACTTCATATGATGCTCTACTTCATATTATCATATGTAATTGTCTTTCAGTGTTAATAATTATATGTAATTTCCAGCACTCGATCCTCCACCTTCTTTTGTTCCAATTTGTTTTCCTCAACACGCACTCAATCTAATAATTTAATAACTTACCACTAATATTCCTCAATTACGTTTCTTTTAAATTTTAATATTTTTTTAATTGAAATGGGATTTAGAGTTGTAGGATTCGATATTTTATAAAATTAGATCTCCTTTCAAGCTTAATTTAAATAAAATATTAAAACATCAAGTAAATATTTTTTAGTATGCATTTTTCAACTTTTGGCACTACGTATGTTTCATCGCTGTAATTTTTTATTAGTTGGATATATATCGTCTAATTTTATGCAATTCGTTTTTATATATGAAATTAATTACTAAAATTTTGAATAGCTTCATGTCCTAATTTTAATTACTCCTTATAATATTTATTCAAATTACTCCCATCAAATAAATCAATAATGTTTTCAACTATATTTTTTTTAGTTTCTTAGATTATTCCAAAATCTAAAGGGATCGAAAATTCTATTATTGGCAATAATTGGTAGTTGGTTTATTATTTTTTTTGTTATGATTTTTTGTTTAATAAGTTCCATATAATTAGTTTTTAGCAACACTTATTTTTCGGCCATAATTATATTAGTATCATTACTTGAGTTGCATCAGTATTAGTAGTAGCATATTAGGATTAGCATTACTATATTAGGATTACCATTAGCATTGGCATTAATATTAGCATATAAGTATTAGTTTAGTATTATTATTAAAATTAGTATATGTATTAGCATTATGATTAAGATTAGAATTAGCATTAGTATTACCGTTAGCATATTAGAATTAATATTAGTATGAATATTAGCATTATGATTATGATTCATATTAGTATTAGCATTATGATTAGAATTATTATTGAAAATTAACATTAACATTAGCATTAGCATTAACATATTATAAATAGTATTAAAATTAGTGTTAGCATTAACATATTTGCATCTGTATAATGATTCGTATTATTATTAGAATTAGGATTATAACTAGAATTAATATTCTAATTAAGATTAGTATTACCATTAGGATTAGGATAAGGATTATGATTATGATTAAAATTATGATTGAAATTAGTATTAGGATTACAATTAGGGTTAGCATTAGCATTAGTGTTAGGATTATGATTAGTACTGTTAGTACTATGAGGATTATCATTAGAATTACTAATAGTTATAGTATTATTATCAGATTAGTCTTAATATTAGTATATTACTATTACTATTAGTAATGGTAATGGAAATGGTAATGGTAATGGTAATGGTAATGGTAATGGTAAAGGTAATGGTATTAATGATTGATATTGGTATCAATATTGGTATTGATATTGGCATTGATTTTAGTATTGGTAATGGCAATGGTAATGGCAATGGTAATGGTAATGGTAATGGTAATGGTAATGGTATTGGTATTGATGATGATAATGGTAATGGTAAGAGTAATGATAACGATAATTGTCTTGGTAATGGTAATGGTAACGATACTGGTAATGATAATGGTATTGATAATGGTATTTGTATTGGTATCCTGACTGGTATTGATATTAGTATTTGTACTGATATTGGTATTGGTATTGGTATTGGTAATGGTATTGGAATTGGTAATTGTATTGATATTGGTATTGGTATTGGTATTGGTATTGGTATTGGTATTGGTATTCGTATTGGTATTGATAATTGTATTGGTATTGGTATTGGTAT